CCCCTCAAAAACTACAGTCAGAACAAAGCAGTCTGAAATCCAGCTGTCATGCACTACAGAATCTGGCAGTTGAGTTAAACAGACCAAAAACACAGAACACTCTTGGTGGCTCATTCTAACAATAAACTTCGCTGAATGTTTCATTTAAAATGATCAAGATGTTTAGGAATTGCCTTAACATTTTTAATATTAGGTTTTAAAACTACTTCAGAAGCTAAGGAAAACAAGTAAGAGATAAAGATTAAACAACAAGTTTGTGGCAGTATCTGGATGTTTGGCTTTTTACCTCCATTCATAATTGAAATCACATTTGGTTGTACCACTGCCCCAACCTCCTGATCCTACTTCACACTTTCAGGGTCAGGTCTACCTTCCCATCGATGGCCGTGAGCTCCTCTCACTAACATCAATGGCAGGCAGGCATCCACATCAGTGGGAGAATTACATGGATGTTCAACTGTTACCGAGAATTCAGGTTCAGGAGGAAGTCAGTCTGCTTTACAAGTGACAAGCCATCATTTTAAAGACTGCTTTAAAAAGGACAGCTCTTTTTCCTCCAGAAAGTGTGATGAATAAGTAAAGGGTTCAACTCTCAGTTAAATGAAAGGGCATTCTGCTGTTTGTTCTGAGATGAGACAGCTCCAGCCAGAAAAATTCCCCATAAACATCATTCTCAGATTTTACAGCAGACTTTTTGTTATAACTTGTATGTGTAAGAGCAATCTGTATTCAATTCTTACATTAAAATGTCTCCTTCAAAGAAAAAAGTTTTCTTCTTCTGCTTCACTACATTAAAACTGATGGATTGCAATTCAGAAATCTTAGGGAACTGGAGAGGTCTCAGAAATTTCACACCAGTACCGTACTCTAAGAGGTGCAGAGTGCCCTTGACTTGTAAGGTCCAGTGACTGCCACAAACAGCTTCTCGGCGTGCAAGGGAGTTCACATCAGTTGACACAAACACAAATTTTAGACAACAACAAAAAAATGGCTCCAAAGGTGAAAACTGGGAAAGTACTGATGCTGGCACTGCATCTGTCATCAGCATTGTTTGCAAAAAATTTACAGGCAAAAACACCTCCTACAGTAAATGCCATAAAATCTGTTTTCAGATCAAGTATTCTCTTAACTGATGAACGACGTTCAGCTCCAGTAAAAGCACATACATTTATTCCAAGGTCTCACCATATTTTGAAATCTAATTACTAATGAGGTTAGACGATTTTAATTGGATTTAGAAATTATGCCATATTTCTTCACTAGCAGAACTTACACCTGGCCTAAAGAAGTTTTTCTGCCTTTGCGGTCAGACCTCAAAGTGTGGTCACAACGTGGATGTCTCAGGTCCTGAACACGAGGCAGCTCATGGGGACCAGGATTTGAATCTTACCAGTACTACGCTCCTTCCCTGTGCCAGCTGGCTGAGTGGGGCACAGAAGCATGGTGCTGCTGGCTCCTTGCCTCCACACATGCAGGAGACAGCGATGTTCTGCAGACACTGGACAACCTCTCATCCTTCTGTGCAGTGATTTCATGCTTGCCTCTACTGCCCTTCACAACCTTGCCCTTACCACAGAAAGAAATTAACTTTATCACATTTATAATACGTTAAGAAGACCTATGTGAAATGTTCTAAATATTAAATCAAATGGATCATATACAGAAAGGATGCAATGTTTTCAAGAATAGAATCTGTAAGAACATCACTGTTCTACAATTATTTAAGGCTACACTGACAGGAAATAGATTCAATTCAAGAACTGTAATCTCTACATGGTATATTGGCACACAAAAAGATAAGTAATTTGATAAACTCTTCCAAGTACTTACTGTATTTTTGAATAAAGGTAAACAACAAAAAGCTATGAAACAAAAGGCACAGACAACTCTGACGAAAACACAAACGCCTTCAATTTGTTTCTGATGCTTTGTTCTTTAAAAATTCTGTTCCATGCTTAAGACCTAACTGAACATACAAACACATACTGTATGCGTAAGCCCTTATGTAGGGTTTAAAACCCCCAATATCTAAAGGCAGATTTCAAATAGAGAAGTATAAGTTTGCATAAAGCAATAAGAAAAACAAAATTACAAGCAAATCCTAAGAATGAGATCTAGGAAGAAAAACAACATGACAGCTATTGATACTGTAACTAATTCATAAAAATCCCAGGGTGAATCCAGTTATTGGTGTGACTGGTTTTGCATGGCAAATCCATATTCTACTGCCTGAAAATTAAACATTCATTTCCATTCTTTATACATTCAGTTCCCAGCCTTTGTACAGTATAAATCCAAGTAAGCCAGAACTCCTTCTGGATACCTTTGGGAAAAGCCACATGATCTAGAGATATTCCTCTTCTCAAATGTGCCCAAAAGAGACAACTATGAATCTCTACTGTGTCTAAATTAACATTTCAGTGTCTTAGAAATCTGAATGGTTAGATGTAAAACTGAAGCAATGCAACCTACAAACACAAACCCAAGTCATCACAGTTTAGTTTTGTTCCATGAAGGTTGTTTGCTGCATCTTTCAAACTGACTTCTTCATTTGTTCAATGGTGATGTTAAGTATATTCTCCACTGGAATTAATTTCATCAGTTCTTGCTGTTAAATACTGTACATTCTTTTATAAGGCAAAACCTGTACAAAGAGACAACCATCAGTATAGAACTTTCAGCTTTAGGAATGAGCATCTAAATATCCACAAACGGGATAAAATAAAAACACGTTCCCATCCACTGAAAACCTGTTTTTGAACAATTGTCAAAACCAATTGTTTTTGACTCCTTCTAAGTCAGCGTTTCTATTATATGGAAAATAGAAAGGAATGGGAAAATCTGAGCATTTTCCTTATGGATAAAAAATTAATGTTGACTTTTTATTAAATTCTACACTCAACATTACATTTCACACACTGAGCAACAAAGAGGACTGAAAGAGACAACTTATATTGTATTACTGTAAGACCATTCCTGTTTAAAGAAAGCTTTTAGCATTATTTGCATTTAGTAACTAAAGGTTCTGTAAATGAAGTAGCAGTGCAACACCAGAAAAAAAAAAAAAAGAGGCCTGTAATAGTGTTTTAAATCTTGAAAAGATGGAAGCCTGGCTCTGCAAATAAACCCCTGAAAAGGCACCAAATACATTAAAGAGTGGAATTACAACATCCCTTAAAAAGTACTGAATGAAATTCTAAGTAGTGTGAGAATTTGAGAAGGATGTGAAGTACCTTTGTTATAGCATACTCACTGTCTCAAATCTCACTGTACTTGACCATCTATATACCCTAATGCCAGCACCGTTCAAAGGTAGTTTAAAGAAATTCAAGAGAAAAATATTTGTCCTGTAGAGAACACACTAGACTACCACTAATTCTCTCAACAAAATCCAAAACTTCACTCTTCTACCCACCAAGTGCTACAACAGTCAGTGAGGTCCCATATTAGTAAGACCTCACCATGATTTATAAGAAAAAAAAAAATCTCTTGCTTTCCATATAGCAACAATTAAAATTATTTGAAACTTATTATAACAGACAAAAAGAATATTTAAATTGGGAAGCTTTTTAAAAATGTGTTTACTCAATAGTCCACCATTTCAGTAACATGAATTAGATTCAGAAGCCAACAAATTAGTGTGATTCCAGTTAAAGTATTTAAGACAAACAGAAATCTTGGAAGCACTGATATTTCTGTAATTTTGGTGGAAGCCACAAATTTTATCTGACAGCAAACCCTCTTGTGATACTGCAGCTTCTCAATTATGTTGTTAGAAATCTGTGTTTCCCAACCTGAACATAACCAAAGCAAACTTCTATTCCAGGTGTGAACATGCATTCAATTGCTAGCAAATCACTAGAAAAATAACTTACTGATGTTCTCTTCTCCAAGAAGATGGGTTAAAACTCCTGGTTTGCTCTCTACTTCCAACAATCAGCATACAGTAATCTCTAAAACAGCTCAGAAGAGACTCAAACTGGTACCTACTTGTAGGAAAGCCATAGTATTTCACATTCATTCAGCGTAGTTCAGCTGCTGCCACTTCCTTCACAGTCTTTCAACCTATATTCCAACTGCTGACATTTTAAAGAAATCCATAACAATTTGTAAAATGAAAATATATTTTAGTAAGTTCGTGCTCTATGAGCTTCCTACATTGGAATACATGAATACAGGAAGTGCTTTCAACAGAAAGTTACACAGTTTTACAGTACAACCTGTCTGAGGAGATTTGGAAGGGACCAAACTAACGAGCTGGTCTCTTTGGATTAGGCAGAAGTACAGGCAAGAGGGAAACCCCCAATTTATGCCATATATAGAGCTTGTTCCTGTCACAGATTGAAGAAACATTAGTTTGATGTCAAAGTTCACCTGATGCCCAAATGCTAGAATTTTTCAAACCGACTGCATATCAAAAAGTGAAAACTCACTTGTACTAAGCTCCTGCAAAGAAACTCAGTGTAAAACAACAGTGTATTCTTATCTCCTATATTACTAAGTGTTTTTCACTGGTGTGTTTTCTTTTTTTTCTTCTTTTGGTCTACAGATGACTAACTTTTTCTCAAAGTGCAAATTATTGACCCTTAATCTGAACGCAGGCAGGTCAGAAGCTACAGTATTAAAGCAAGACAAAAAGTACACAAGGAGGAACTCACATTAATTTGGAGAACCTTACATAAAACTTTTCTGAATTGAAAACCACAAAACAAACCCAAACAAATACAGCATCAGGTGGATGGGGAAGGGACTGCTAATGTATCTGTGTACAGCAAGGCTTCTCTGACACCAAGGAAGTGTCTGATGCTAAGTGAAGATTATATATTAAATCCCGTCATTTTGCATGTTGTCCATTCTTTACGATGGAATGTTGACCTCAATTTTCCTTTTTGTTGTCTTTTTTTTTACTTCCACCACAACTCTGTTGAATGTCACTAGGGATGATCATCTTCTTGAGAGACCAAACTCCCTTAAAACCACAGCTGTAACTGTACCATCCATTACGATTCTAGTAAAGTATGCCATCTACATACTTGCTGTCCTTTAGATTCTTTCATTTCAGTCCAGTGATTGAGTTCATCTTCTCCTGAGCTGTTCAGACCTAAGGAAATCCACCCTATCATCTCTTTTCGTTTCATGCTGCGCTTATTATATACAGACAATATGAGTGTCACATCTGAAAGCTGGAACAGTGCCACTTGGAAAACGAAGGTTTCTTTGTACACTGGATTGGGCTGTCCTCGGCGGATTGAAGTTTTGCATTTGGACATCTCCTGTCCCATCGAGTTCAGCAGTGTTAACTTAACATAGGTATCTACAAAATAAATCATATGTTGTAGCATCAGATAACTTAGAACAAAAGGTTTTGAGAATGAGGTACTTACAAGACACAAGGATATAGTGTATGCCAGGCTGACTGAACACAGCTTAGTTTAGACACATGGAAAGATGACAAGTAAGCAGAATATTACAAACACACTAACAATCTAACTAGCTCCAGTGCTATGTAAAGGGATTCAGTTAAAGGCACACCTCATAGTCCTCTTTCCGTTGACTCCCCCGTTATTTGTTCTATTAACACTCAGCAAGCTCCAACTAGCCACAACACTGTAAAGCATACCACCGGATTTTCAGAAAATAAGAATAAACAAAGTGGAATGAAGGCAACTAATGAAGAGGAAAAAACAAACAAACAAAAAAACCCAACAAGGTGTTGATATGCAGCGATGGTATCAAAACAGCCAAATGAAATGCTTAAGAATAATCTCTGCATGGATGCGGTTCTCACTTTGGGCTTTTCACTTTTATTTATTTTAAAGACCAAAATGTAGCAGAGTGCATTAAAAGGTGGAAATTTACACAATACAAACCCCCCTATTAATCCTTAGATTCACGACGGAATACATTTAATGCATCTTTAAAGAGAAATAAGTTTTTGCATAATTCAAGATAGTTGTTTAAAACACAGCTTGTACAGCGCTCTTAGGAACTGCATTTAAGAAGCTGATCAAGTAAATGTGGCTAGCACATACTTAGTGAGTGTTAGTATTTTGGTATAAAATCTTATTTTTAAAGCTCTATATGCATTTCACTAGAAGCACCAAGCCATGCTCCCACAGAAGGGTGTGCATTTCACAAAGTTAACTGATTTTAAGAAATATAAAACTGTATAAAACATTCTGGTGTTTCTTTCTTTATTTCTGACACATTCATGTTAGTGAATAATATTAAAAGATCAGAGTTTACGTAAAAAGAAACATACTGAATGTTTTTACTTTGCAGGTACACTGAAATCCCAACATCCATAATCAGAGATAAATGCAACTTTTGTATTAGAGAGTGCAACAAATAAAAGACATATACTTTCATAAACCAATATGGTAGGCAGCTGTGAATAGCTTTACTGCTGGCACGTTTTCTTTTGCATGAAAAAGACAACATCCAATTAGTTTCTACAGGAACTCACCTCGGATTATATAAACCTGTCCACCTATCAAGTGTTTTAGACAACAGAACAGTCCATCTGACAACAGGGGGTGGAAAGCAGTAAAAGAAATAATGACCAAATGTCAATAGTTGGGTGAGAAAGGATCAAAGGTTAAAGTTTAAGAGGAAACACTATTCACTGGAGTGGAAGAACACAGAAACTTATCAGCACAGATCAGAAAAAGGATTGAACAAAAGGATCGCTTGGTAAAATTTAATGAAATGAAAATTTTCTGCGGTTTTTGTGTAATCTTTAACAAAAATTACACCACTTCCATAATGGGTTATCTTAGCGCTAATAGCTACTGGGTTCTAAAGCACACTCAACAGAGAAAGAATCATGCAAACAGTTAGGTTACAGAAGACTGGCTAAAAAATCACTGTATCCTTTTTATCAAACCTTACGCTTTTTCATGCAAACTCCAGCATATTAAGAAAAACTGTACACAGGAATTAATACTTTGTATATTAAAAGCAATAAAATGAAAAACCTCTGAACTTAAGCTGGTTTTGCCCTTAGCTTTTAGAGTTACAGATACTTGATTGTAATACTTTGGTTCTCAAGTAGTGATGGACTTGGGCACGACAATGACTGACCTAATCTCTAAAAAAGCTGAGGGATGCTTCCTCGCTGAAATTCAACTACGGGTCTCTAAAATGTAAAGATCAAACTTGTTAAAATCCATGTACTTATGGACTGAATGTGTGTGTGCATGCATACACACACATGCATTTAATGCACAGAAGCTCGTACCCTGTTTCAACAATTTTTTAACCTAATTATATAATTTTCAAATATTAACTGTCACACAGAGAAACAAAGACACGTTCCAACATGAACTGTTATTGCCTGCAGGATCTGGCCTATTTGCCTGTACTCAGTTGCTAGAAGAGTTACTATACAACATAAATATGTAGCCTAGCTGTATATACTACCAAGAAGCAGAAATGTAGGACTCGACCCATACTTCCTGCAGAGGCACACCACAAAAATTGCACAGATTCACAAGCCCTAGACTACAGAAAGGGCTGCATGTGGAAAAGAAGAACTGCTGCCATTTCTATCGGTTTCTCAAGACATCAGTGAAAACTGACCTGTGCATGTACTTCGCAGCACTCCTCAGGATTCTGGACCACGGATGGTCCAAACAACAAATCTGATCAAAATGTTTCATCATCACCCCTATGGGCCTTAGTTTTCATTCTGTGGAAATGGTGGCACAGGCTGGTATGTGTGCACAATGTACTTGAAAGGCAGTTAGGAAATGGCAGTGGTATGAACTTCGGCCCAAGGGGACAGCACAAAACAGCTCAGAGGAAACTGGATTGCACAATATTCTGTGGATGGCCTTACCAGACCCAGAAAGTGCATTAGTTTCCATCTGTCAAGAACCAACAGAACTCTAAATCTGGATTTGCCTGAACAGAGCTGGAATATTATTAATGTGAATATCAAAACTTCCCCCTGTCCTTCACAGGGTATGAAAAAAGGTAACACACAAGATCTTCTTTCCAAAAGGTGAAACAGAACATGGTATTACAAGGCTATGTGCCATGTTCTATGCTGCTTGCTTTCAATATGAAACAGAATTTTGACCTCAGTGACACACAGAGCTAGACAGCATGGGCACATTTTGGGAATTAATATACCAGAAAATTAACATATCTGTCTTTAAAACAAGTACTGAACCCCCATCTAACTTGCATATTCTAAATATTAAAAAAAAAATTGTCTTTCTCTAGAGGTGCCAGAAAGATAGGCATAAGCCACCTAGTGTTTTTGCTTTAAGGGAACACATGGTCCCTTCTTTCAAAATCTTCTCTCCTGCTCATTCCTTCCCCCACACTGGTGTCCTTGGGCCTTCCTGGCTTTCCCCATCTATTTCTATGCTTTGTCTCCAAATAGGTGACTCTGGGGCAGCTACATAATTATATAAAAGTATTAGAGATTCTTCTTTCACCTTCCTTCTCTTGCCATGTTCACAAAGTCTAGCTCCATCAGTGTGAAAAGAATAGAGAAACCAAAGCAGCGTAAGGCTGAGCCAAGTGTAATTAATTAATAGAATAAAACACGGGTCAAGAAAGAAAAAGAAGAGCATCAGTCTCAATTTGTCTATCTTTATTCCTAAACTCTGAAGACAAAGTGAGATGTACGAATTATTTAGAAAATGTTGGAAGCCTGCTACATAATCTAGTAGTGCCAGATAATCTGCTAATGCCATACAGATCTGGGGATTAAGAAACAGAAAGAGGGGCTAAAACCTGAGCTTCCAGACAAACTGAAGATAAACAGGTAGGTATGTCTGGTTACAACTTCCATATATTGGACTCATCATCTAAAAATAAATTAAAATAATTTTTTAAAATGTTCATTACTGAATTTTGTCAAGCTGTATCAAAGAATTAGAGACAGTAAAAACATTCTGTGTGTACGACATTCCATATGGCTCCGGCTTCAAAGTATATAAAGTTCATAGATATATTAGACAAATGTATTTTTGAGGAAATGCTTGAACACATAGTTCAAGTCCTTTCTGATGGTGAATGTTCCTTCTGCACAGCAAATATGCCCAAGGTCTTGATTTGTTTCTCCGCTGTCTTCACTGGCATTTCCAAGCTACATATATCACTACCACATATAGACAAGCACATAAGCAATTAAAGACTGCACTATCAACCCCTCTAGGAACAGCAATAACTGTTCAGAGTGTTTATATTAATAGTAGCTGGCATGTACTTTCTCTTTAAACACTAACTTTTTATTCTTGGCCTGTGATGCGAGGCATTAGTAATTTAGCAATTAATCATTATCATAAAGGTAATTTATTAGTCAGTCATCATGAAAAATTAAAACAGTCCTGTTAACTCACAATTAATATTTTGAATTTTATATGTTTTCTATTTCCCAACTGACTAGAAATATAAAACATGAAAGAGATTAGTAGATGATTGCTCTATTTCATTCTGATAGGGGAAGACTAAACGATAGGATTTGAAGGCCTTGCTACTGAGAGCCCCACCAGTACAGAAGCATTAGGACGAAAAAAGATTTTCACTCACTGGGTGGTCTGTTTGCTGCCAAGTTTTTGAAGTGGCTGCCTTTTATCACTTCTGCTGATAATCTTCCAGTGGTAGCGTTATAAAGGAGGCCAACGAGGATTTCTGGAGCTGAGCCATGCACCAGAGAGTGACAAGAGGAGGTACTTTCACTGCAGGACACTTCTGACGTGCTCATTTGAGAGTCACAGCCCTATAAAACAGATCAAATGTTCTACGTATTTTATGAAACAATGTTACTAGGAAGTCAATTTTTAGAATAATGCATAGAAAACAAGGAAAACAATTTACTGACAATAACAGGCATTCCATTCAATCACCCAATAAGAAATGTACATCATTAATATATACTCAGTTTGCACATGTTAGAGGTGAAAAAAAGACTAAAGCAGCCTGGAATTAAAATAGTCATTGATTTTGTGTTTCTGTTGCTTCATAATTCAGGAGAAATAATAGCAGAAGATGAAGAACAGCCTTTATGGTTCCTATTTAATTCAATTACTAAGATAGGACATATAACATAATTTGTCAGCCTCCTGGAGAACATTAAACCTTGGATCTTTTACTTTCCAAAAATGTAAAACACTAGTGGAACTTTTAAGATAATAAAATGCAGGAAATTCTTATTCATCCTTTGCAAACGTTATTCTCTAGACTGAGACTGAGAATTTGTGAGTAGCAAAATAACAGAACGCATGCAAATATAAAAATGCACTGTCTAGAATAAATTAGCTTACGAGGAATTTAATTGATCCAGGGATACAGAATCACAATAGACCCTTTGTCTTGAGTGGCAAAGGAAGAATGCCACCCTAAAGCTCATCAAGTGATGCTTTAATTTCCACTCTGCAAGCTTCCAAAAAGTTCAGATCTTTCATGCATTCTCACCACAACACATCTTTGATGGGAGCTTCTAAAATTAATTTTTATCATCTTAAACCGTCATTATTTGCCTTAAAAAAAAAAAAAATAATTACTTTGTTCCCATTGACTTGCTAATCATACCAGAGTTGTTCCTACTTTCATTTCTCACTTTCATGCACTGGCACAGAGTTGTACCACTGCAAACAAGAAACTGGACGGAATCTAGCCAATGGCACAGCAATTTGTTTGGTAGCCAAGAAGAGATGTTTGAATTACCAGTATATCCCTTTATGATTCTCTCAGAAAAAAATGTAAATTGGATCCACAGATTTTTCAAATATGGTTTGACTCATTTGGGAATCTGGCAGCACTCTTTCAAGAAGTCATGATGCTTTTGTGAAGCAGATTCTTCCAGATTCCAAATGTCTCTATCATTTCCAGCAACAGCTGACATGGGCACAAGATCAGTGCCTAAAACCTAAATAGCACAAATCCTCATAGAGATAAAAGTTCACTTTAAAAGCAAGTAACTTAATCTGACACATAAAGCCCAAATGCATTATGGAATCTCCAATTATAGAAGTCGTGATACCTACAAGAAGAAATTATGAACCTACAATAATACCCTTCATATTGACATTTTAACTAGTTCTTCTCAACAGAAGATTTCCAAGAAGTCTGGCAGAAGTTTAAAGTAGCAATCCAGTTCCTCATTAATTAACATTCACTGTTGTTAGCAAATGTATTCTTACTGCTAAAGGGCCTTAGCAAAATTTCCTGACTTCCATTGCCCACGCTGCAAAGTCTGAATTTTAAATCTTTGGTTATTTCTCCAAAAGTTCTTTATTCAATTTGGAGAATAAATTTCAAATGCGTCGCAAATTGTAAATTGCTGGAAATGAATTAGAAGTATACGTTCATTCTCTGATTCTTGGCACTCACAAAACAGCAACCTTTTGATTCCTAACTTGAACAGTAGAATACAGAATAGAAAGTTTAAAAGAAAGATGACTTGATTCAGCAGTCACACAATACTCTGCACACTTGAAAACCTCAGCCTGCCACAACTGCAGCTATTACTTAAGTTTTCTGGTCTTTTAAAATGGTAACATATTATTCCTATGGTGCTTACTCATCTTATTATTATTTTGACGGGTCAGGAATTTAACCACAGTCAACCCAATAATGTTAATGTCTTAAATTTGATTGTGACCATGCTGCAAGTCCACAAAAAAGACATAGCACAAAGGCTTGGAAACACTCCGCAACAAACCCTCAAAGGGCTCCAACACCTGCACTGAGAGATGGTGGTGACAGCACTTTTTGACAGAGTTAAAGCAATTACAATGGGTATCAGAGTAACATTAGAATACTAGAAAATTTTAATAGTAAATGAGTGATGACTGAGTGGGAATGAGTTCTGAAGTTTGCTGAAGGGAAGGCAAACAGCTTCTGTCTGATAGAACAGAGAAGGGGGAAAACAACTGAAAAATTAAAATGAAATGTGTGATATTACAAAGTAACATAAGAATGGGCTAGAAATATCATTCCTTTACAGCAGAATCCTGAGTGGATGTGAGAAGGACAAGTCTGCCACTGTGAAGGCCAGAGAAAAGAACCTCATCAGCTGAACAGTGGGTTGAGAAGACCAAGGTGATGCTTCAGATCTGTAAGTGAATGGAAATGCAACTAAGTGGCAGTACCTCAGAACTGTGCACAAAAAGAACTGGTAGATGTAGCCCTGATGAAAATCTGGAGAGAGGATCTCACTTAAGTGTTTTGCTACAATATTTTCTAAAACAAAGTACTTTGCCTCTTGTTTTGAGACAGGTGGCAGGTATGAAATGAACAAAAGCATGTTGTTTAATCCTTAGTGCATAATAAACTTGTGAATCTCCTTCTTACAAAATGCTGTGGAGACAGAAGTTTAAAGACATTAAAATAAAGCAACCAAATTCACCGAACAATCTAAATATTTTGTTTTCCATTGCACAAAAAGAAAAGACTCCAACACATTTTGTTTCATGCTGACTCAAATGTATTTTAAAAAATACTCTGCTTTTCAGTTATGAACTGGAAATTCCTAACACAAAAGAAAGTGAGACATTAAGAAGAAAAATGAAGCAGTGAGCAGATTAGAGGACAGACTGATGATACTGGCTAAAAACAGGGTTAAACAACACAAACCAAAGTATAATTTCTGTGTCTATCATATGGGAGAAAACAGAGAATTTGGGGGCAAGGAGGTAAAAGACATGAGAAAAAAGGGGAAAGTGAGGTTGTATTCTGTCAGTTTTCTTTTGAAAGAAAACAAGAAGATCCTGTAAGGAAGAGAAAAAGAAACAAGAAATCAGGGAAGGTAAAGAGAGAGCTGAGATCAACAACTGAAGAAAGACTTTTCACTGCAAGTTAAAATCACACTGCGGAAATCCATTCATTGTTTCCAGGAAAGTATTCTGTGATAACAATACCTGTTGGTAAGTAACCTGACTTGGTGTTTAGTCTGTAATCTGCACTAGAATTGAAAATAAGAGCTTTTCAATTCTCTGTTTAGAACAGTTTTTCTGTTGACATAGTCAAAATTCAAGAAGAGTGCTAACAAACTCATCAAGAAAAGACGTTACATTTTTACCTGCTCAAAATACAAGGTTCACGATCACGTGCCAAATTGTAAAATATCAGCACTGAAATTGCTAATGATACAACATGAATATAAACTTAGCTACAACACAGCTTATATTTCATGACATTACAGTGCTACCAGATGGTTTTAACCTCCATACAGATCTGCATTCCATCTACCTGTAAATCTATCTGTAGGCCACTTTGAAACTGTATCTTCACTATGGGAAACATAATATTTACATCTAGAGTTACTATTAATTTGAAATAATCTGTTTACTTTGGTTTATTTTTATAACTCTTCCCTCTTTTCCTCTATAAAACCCACGTAATTTAATAAGCAGAGGGAAAAAAAAAAAAAAGGACAGAAGTAATATAGTAGCAAAAGCCTTTCAAGGTCAGTGAAGCAGCAGAATGGCCCAGGAAGAACTGCTGTAAAATCTTAAATGCTGATTTTTAAGAACTCTGATGAACTGTCAAGGTATTGATCATCTGGCCAAAGTGCAAGGGAGTTGTCTCCAGGATATTAATGCTAAAACTCTAACCTATTTCTGTCAATTTAGCCATAACAAAAATATGTTAGTAACAGTAAACACAAGCAAAAAAACATCATGTAAAGTCTATTCCAAATATTAGGTTCAAAGGTCCTATTTGTCCTACTGTCCTAAAGGTCCTACTGTAATTACTACAGTAAATTACAAATTTTCAGCTTTTGCATTTTATAACCCAGAGCTCTACACAAAGGACCTAGACCTTTCCCATATACAACACGGCATAGTACTTTATGCTAGGCAGATTTTATTTGATCAACACTTACAAGAATCACTGCTTTTCACTTGATTGTAAAAGTAATGTCTTATATTGTAAAAAATCTTAATCCCTAATTCTTCAGACTATTTTCCTTGATGACTTCTTTGCATATATTATCAAGGGAAGACACATCACTTTTAAATAAACATATAATAAAAACGTTCCCATTAAGTGGTATTTGTATTTCATAGGTTCCTATTTTACATAAAAACGTTCCCATTAAGTGGTATTTCATAGGTTCCTATTTTATGAAAGTTGGCAATCAAAAAAAGAACATTCCTTCTTCCTTCGTGTCCATGGAAGTGAACACATGCAATGCATGATGTCAGACCTGAACCCCTAAGAAGTATCTTCAACAATCTTTTTCTCTGCTTCCTTACAATGCTGAGAACACCCTATTTGCAACAAAGATAATCTATGTAAAATCTATTTGTCTTTCTTCACCATAATTCCATGGAAACAGGCTATTTGTTACTTACATATTCATCTCCTACTGTTATTTTTCTATACCCTGAAGTTCTGCTTACAGATTCTGCTCTTAAGCCAACTGCAGTTAATCACAAAGAAGAATGTGTCCATGCTCTGAGGGCAGTTAAATGTTCATTGTCCTCAATGCACAGGTTAAAATCATGCCTCTGTAGGCTTAAGAAACAAGAACATCTGATCCTCTTGGCTTTTCAAAACATACACAGGAAAGATGAAACCTTGCTGACAATCCTTCAGCAACAAAAATCTGATTCACAGCATGCTACTTGTCAAAATGTCTCTCTCAAATTTTAAATGTTAATGTTACATCACTAATCTCTTAAAGAACTGTTTTGCACATTACTTTCTTTTGCTTCTCTATCAATATAACTGAGAGGTGAGGGAAGGAAATTTGAATCCTAGTATGCAAAA